CAGTGCTGCAGGTTAGCCAAGGCCACACTGAAGGATTATCTTTTAAATAAAGCCTAGAATCAATGTTCAGTCTTTAGAAGGGCACTTGAGAAGTTGCTAGTATTCTACTGCACAACAACTGAAGAACTCAGTACCCTTGAAAGCAGCTGATTAAACTCCTTAAATTCAGTTACAGGGCATTCAATTAAAAGACCTACAGCCTTAGCACTACTTAACAGCAGCAAGGACCTTTGCACCATTGCTGGAAACACTGGGACTCTATCATGCTATGTACTGCACTGTGCTAACATGAAGGAGGACAAGAAAATGATTCTTAGCCATTCTGCAGAAAACTGCTTCCTATTTTCTTTCTTGCATGAGGCCCTTCGCATTCATGGAATGTGCAAAAGCAGAGTAATGAAGGAGTGGGAGAGCTGGCATGTTGCACTTTATCCTAGCAAATACTTCAGAAAATTCCAGGAGGTGACCAAGCAACTCTCAGAGAAGGCTGTCTTGACACTGGCTCCAAGAACAGCAAACATAAGCATAAGGTTATAGCTGCTCTTAAAAGAGGAGTGTGCTTGAGGCCAACAGCAAAGCACTTTTCAACTACTGTGACCAAATGGCCTGCTGTATACTTTTTCTCAGAAAATGAAGAAGGCTAAGGATGCCTGTGGAATAGTTCACACACATACCTTTATTACATGACTGACATGCCAAATGTTACATGTAGAGTCTTTCTGGAAACAAAGAATCCATTTCTATTGTCCATCTCTTATAACTCCAAGGCCTAGGCCCCAGCTACTTAAAGTCCTCACAAGGTGTGAGATGCTCAAATAACCTGCTGGCTTTACTATACACTCTTTTAAAAGGTGGCAACAGGGGGCTGAGCAGACAGCTCAGTGGTTAAAGAGCTTGCCATGCAAATGTGAGGACTGGAGTTTGAGTCTCCAGAAATCCCATGTCAGCGGGCATGGCAGCCCACCCATAGGTCTAGTCTCCAAATGCAGAGACCAGGTACCTCTGTAGAGCAAGCTGGTTGGGAAGACTAGATGTGTCAATAAGCTGTGGGTTTGATTAGCAGACCCTGTCTCAATGATTATAGCAGAACAATTGAGGATCATTCTTGACATCAACTCTGGGCCTCCACATGCATGTACCCACATACATGTAAAATAAGGTCACACACAAGCACACTACATATACGAAATGGAAAAGGAAGGAAATGTATGGCAATGTAACTTTGCCTCTTGGCTGACCCAAAAGAAGCTTTGGCATTTCTACAAAAGACACACAAGAAAAGCCTGATCAAACTGAAATCCACAACTCTTCTTATATCTTCTGACAACAGGGAACTCAGAGAAAACTGCTGTCTTGCAGACAAGCATCCGAGAGCCACAGCCACCAGAGCAAAAACCTGCATAGTAGCGAGCAGTGAGACAGAAAAGCCATGTGTCTTGGGGGAACCCTGAATAAACCTGCACGTGTTTTCACACCATGCTTCCCTAGATCCCATTCAGATCAAGTCGAGCAAGGGCCATCAGCTATCAACACTACCAATACTGTATGTCTTTGATAATGAAAATAAGAGTCCCTGGAGAGATTACTGCTCAGCTGGGCGTGATGACACTTTGGAGGCAAAAGCAGGCAAAGTTGACTTCGAAGCCAGCCTGGTCTACATTGTAGGTTCTGGACCAACCAGAGCTACACAGTGAGACCATGTGGTGATAGGGGTGGGAATGGAGGAATGGAGACAGGCAGGGAGAAGGAAAGAGATCAGTGCTGCTCTCAGCCGTGGCCAAAGAAGCTTTTCTGTGCAGTGGGTAGCAGCTAATGCTCACACTCAGAACCAGTCAGCATTGAAAACACGTGAGTTCTGAGTGATCAGCACTAAATAGGACGTCTATGTCAAGCCCCACCATACACACTCCTGAGGCTGAGGGGACATCCTAGAAGAAGGAACAGAGAGGAGGTAAGAGCTGGAAGATGGGCAAAGTGAATGATGCCTTCTGTACATAACAAGGCCATCGCAGCCATCAATTCACTGCAGCTGGGGTTACCTGTCTAAGAGAAGGCACAGGATCAGTCAGCATTCCAGGAGACAGCACTGAGTGGGCTCTCCCCCACCAGAGAGGGAAAGGGAAGACATGAAGTGGGTAGGAGGAAGTGAGAGGGGACATGATTAAATGTCAAAAAATAAAGACATGAGTCTGTATGCGGGAGCTGACTGACTTGGAAGTGGAGGTGCCTGTCACCAAGGATGATAACTCCAGTTGATCCCCTGGAACCCACATGACAGGAGAGAACTGACTTCCACAAGTTGTCCTCTGACCTCTACTTAAGCACTGTGGTATGTATGCCATCCCATCCCCTCACCACACACAAAAGAAATAAAAATGTTATTAAAAATTTTAAAAAGAAATACTTAGTACATTTCAACTAAACCACTATTCAACTGATTTCAGTATTTCAGAATGTATATACATATTACAAAGCTAACTATATAATTGTTAAAGTCTTATAAATAATAAACATTAGGAAATATAAGAGGAAAATGGGGTTTCAGAACAATATAAAAGTCTGTAAAATATCTAGAGCAAATTGAGCAGGAAATATACAAACTTAGGTAACCAAATCTACTTTTCAACATAATTACTCAAAACTTTAACGACGTCAATTTTCCTCCAATTGGAGTCTAAACTCCAGATAATCTAAAAATACCTACAAGATTGAAAACGTGCACTATGCAATGTCTTATATAAAAATATAAAACAGGGTTAGGATGTAGTTTAGCAGTAGAATACTTTCCCTTGTACTATGGGCAAAGCCCTGAATTTATTTCCCAGTGCAGCTGAAAAGGAGAGAGTGAGAGCGAGAGAGAGAGAGAAGTATATAACATAATAACCCACAATCCACCTTAAAAACCAATACCACTGACAAAGAAGAGCTATGAAAAGATTTTCCCGCTGTGAGATCAGAAAGCACAAAAGAAGTGCAGCAACTATGGCTATGGGAGGCACCTGCTTAACACACAGGAGCCATACCTCAGCTCACTCTCATCCCTACCAGCGACCAAAAAAGAAGAAGAAAAAAAAAAAAAAAAAGGTTAGGTAAGCAGAGCCCACTGGGCCAAAAGAACAGAACACTGCACACCTCAAACCTGGACTCGGGAATTTAACAAATAACAGGTGACAATTCAAATCACTAATAAAAAGAACAGTTGTTTAATGAAGTATCTTTAGATAGCTAACTAGGAAGGAAAGGTACACTAACTTAATGCCACAGCAGTGAATTGCCTTTCATCCATGTAAAGAGCTAAGTGTGAAGGTGGAAGACTGTATGCAGCTGGCTACAGAGCACACATGTGAAGGCCACCTGCCACAAAACCTGCTGCAGTGAACCTAGGTTAAAAAGATGACACAGGGTACACCTGTAATCTGGAAAACATGCTCAAAGCAGCAAACACAACTCATTTAAAGACTATTAATAATTAATTTGATGAAAAAAAGGAAACTCAGATTTATACTAAGTATATGAAAAGATGTTTGACCCCACTAGGAACCAGGTAGGTACAAATTAAAAGTACACGTACAAATATATTTTAAAATGTAATCCTCATCATCCTTGTAAACTATTATAAAATTGAATAAAATACAAATCCATTTGTTCAGCCAAAGAGCTAGCCACTCATACACAGTCCCCAGGAAAGCAGTGGGTCCTACACAAAGTAACAAGGCCTAGCCTCTACAGGGCTCAGAACAGCTCTGAAGCCATGTGCCCTGTAACCCAGCCTCCTGAGAGTTACCCTGAACCACTGAACTGCATCCCAGCCTTCCAGACACAGGCCTCTGCAAAGATGGACAAACAAGTTTTCTAACTTTAATGCATAAAAGGATAAGAGGCACAAAAACAGAGCTTGTGTCTTAGATTTTCTATTGCTGTAATAGAACACTACAACCATAAGCAACTTGGGGAGAAAAGGGTTATTATTGCTTACACTTCCATATCATAGGCCACCAAGGAAGGAACTCAGGGTAAGAACTCAAGTAGGGCAGGAGCTGAAGCAGGACCATGAAGGGGCGCTGCGACTGGCCTGTTCCCCGTGGCTGGCTCAGTCTGCTTTCTTATAGCACCCAGGATCACCAGCCCATGGATGCACCAATAACTGCAGTTGGCTGGGCCTGAACCCATAATTAAGACAATACCACACAGGCCTGCCTACAGTCTGACCTTACAGAGGCAATTTCTCGGTGGAGGTTCCCTCCTCTGGAATGACTCCAGCTTGTATCAAGTTGACATAGCCAGAAGCACAGCTTGCAGGAAGTCACCCAGGGTGATATAACACCTGTGTGACTGCACAAAGCAACTGAGCCTGCCACAAACGGAAACAAGAGCTGGGAGGAAATGAGCAGGTGAGTGAAGAAGAGCTCACAGGGGCCTGATTGCCAATCACCTTCCCAGCACCAATCTAATGGCTGATGTAGCACATAGCACACCTCCTCTTCTCTGCTCCTACATGTGTCAGCACTGTGAACCACCCAGTCTCAGTGATGCACAGTGGAGCCTACAACAATTCCCCCAGTCGGGGCAGGGGCAGGAGGTGGGGGATCTCACCATGTACCTCCAACTGCTCTGAAAACAGCCTCAAACTCAAGGAATACACCTGCCTCTGCCTCCCCAGTGCCGGGATTAAAGGCGTTCAACACACCAGACTCCTAGCACAGCTCCTGACACTCAGTATGTCCTTTTGGCTTTTCTGAGGCAAAAATCTTGCCACATAGCATTGGCTAGTCCTAAACCTGCTTGTAAACCAGGCTGGACTCAAACTCATGATGCTCCTCCAGCTTCTGCCTGCCCAAGTGGTGAATTAGAGGTGTGCCGCCAAGCCTAGTAGCTTTGTTTGTTTTGTTTGGACAGATGCTCAGAGTTCTAGAACTGCACTTGCTGCCAGGGTCCCCATGCTCAATCTGAGAGCCAGTGTCCTATTTAAGAGCCCACACCCAAATCAAACAGATACTTACAGGCTGAGGTTGCTCTGCAATACAGCAGTTGAAACACAACCAGAATTCACTCATGCTTTCAGCCCAAGGCCTGAGTGAGCACCACCAAGGCTCTAAATCTCCAGCCAGGAAACTCCACGTCCACCCTCAAGGTGAGGAATGGTTGTCGAGATAGCTTTACTTCACTGTGCCTCTGTTCTTGGAGTCAAATGTCTCAAGTTGATTAAGAGGAAAGTTTGATTGTTTCTTTTCTCTGCTTCCAGTTCTACAGACACTGGTTCCAAGTCGGTGGGAATGAAAAGAACCGCTGTGTTCTAGAGCCTGTAGAAGGAAAGAAGGAGGAGGAAAAGCAAGTGAGTCAACCACAGTATCCTTAGAATCGTTTATCTTTTGAAATCTGTAATAAAATAGGAGTGAATATTACCTAAAAGGCAAATACTACAAGTCAACAATTTCACAAACTCATTGATGTAACAAACTAGTCTTTGAGTTACTGCTTGACTGTGAGGGGTCAAAGTTGTAATAGTGAAAACAAAAAATCCTTGCTTTCATGTAATATTTTATAACTATAAAGTATGAATTAATTTAAAACCATTATATTTTTTTAAATCACCAATTAAAACATTATAGTTTCCATACTTCAATTCCACAAAGAAATGCTCATCATTTTCATGCTTTGTCAAGTCTTTGTTTTCAGACAACCCACAGTAACTAACAGATAAATGAACTCTATGATAAGCAGGTACACACACCAGAAACTTTAAAATGATCACCCACCCACAGAAATGGAACCCTACAGAGATGTTGCTTTCCTTCAATGCATCCAGCCATTAGGAACCCCACCCACCCACCCAAACAGCCAGCACTGAGTGGAGACGTGAGCATCCCACCACAGCAAACCAAGGGAAGTCCAAGAAATCCTTGTCAAGCTGACAGTCAGAGAAGCAAAGGAACAGAAGCCAGGGAGGTTCCAATCATTCTTAAGACCAGCATCACATGTATACAAGTTTGCTTGGGTGAGGCCTAAAGTTACATCAAATGGGCTCATACTGGTGGGAACCTACCCTGCACATTAGTTGAAGATGCCCAATACTGGATACACAAGTTGCAAGCCACAGAAGCCTTAGCAATCAAATCAGCAAACCACAGCAGCATGGGTAAGGTTGGCTCAACCGAGGGAGGTGTCAGAGCAAGTACAACTATACGACAGGAACAGAAGTTTACTAAGGGGATCTACCTACTGCCAGAACAAGAGAGAAGAGAAGCTAGTAAATGTGGGACCACAGAGCCACCTTCAAGAAGAAACTGCTACTGAGAAAAGATCAGATAATGGAAGGGAGGGGCAACCATTGGAGCCAACATGTGAAGGCAGCATCTGCAAGAAAACACAAAGCTTAAAAAAGATAATGTGACGCTCAGGGAGGCAGAGGCAGGTGGATCACTGTGAGTTCTGCGAGTTCAAGGCCAGCCTGATCTACAGAGCCAGCCCCGGACAGCCAAGTCTACAGAGAGAAACCCCATCTCGATAGATAGATAGATAGATAGATAGATAGATAGATAGATAGATAGATACCCACCCTTGAAATGAAAAGATCCAATGTCAAAGATGACTTCATTTGGTTACCCAAAAAAGACATAAACATTTCTGACCCAATTGAAATTGAGTATTTGGTTGTTTTTTTGTTTTTTGTTTTTTAAATTGAGTATTTGTAAACCTCTTAAAGAAGCTTCATAAATTGATAAACTTTGTCATGTATAAATCATTATCTCATTAGCTCATAGAACCCTGGAGATTAACCAAATTAAAACTGTGCCCTTCTAAAATTATATTATGTAAAGATTACACAAAATTCTCCTTTATTCTCACCAATGTAACTACTTTAAAAGTATTATTTTAAGCCAGGCATGGTGGTGAGTGCCGGTGATCCCAGAACTCTGGGAGGCAGAGGAAGGCAAATCTCTGTGAGTTCGAGGCCAGCCTGGTCTACAACACAAGTCCAGGATAGCCAAGACTGCACAGAGAAACCCTGTCTCAAAAAAACCAAACAACAACAAAAAAGGTATTATTTTATATATCATGGGTTAAGTATCCTTTATCCTAACCAAATACATTTTTGAAAATTCTTCCCTTTAATTTCTTCAAAGCTAGGAAGACTAAGACAGGCACTTCCACCACTTTTGTAAAAACAAAGGAGATAGCTGTGCTCAAGTCACAAACCTGGTTAGCTGCAGAGTATAAAATACTCAACCTCACAATTCATGCAGTCAGAAACATTCGAGAAGACTGAAGGAAGAAAAATTCAGTTTTGCTATAATTAAAATATAGACCTTAAAACAAACACTGCTTACTTCACCCAAGTCTAGAGATAAGAAAAAAGTAGAGATGTTTGTCCTCGGAACTGAGAAATATTCTGAGATTTAATTAGATCAAAGGAACTCTTACCTATTTCTGTCCAATCTTATTATAAGGAATATACCAGGAAATGAGTTAAATTCAGAGTATCCAATGGACATTTTAAAGATTTAAAAAACTGAATTAAAAGGCCACACGTAAGGCTGACAAAGGCATTGGCCACCAAGTCTGAGGACCTGACTCAAATCAAAACACATAAGCAGTTTTATTCCTGAAACTTATCCTCTGACCTCCACACTGAGAACCAAAGTGTCAAAGTGTACATACACACACACACACACACACACACACACACACACACACACACAGCGCTGTGAAACATGTATGCATTCTGTAAAGCTAAAAATACATATATCACTTTAAACATTGATTACTTCTTTATGGCAACAACATTAAGAATTCTCACCTAGCTCCTAGCTTTCTGGAATAGATGTAAGCACAGTGTCATTGTTGGTCGGTCGCTGCTGGTCACCTTACTAAACGAGATCACAACAAAACTATCATCCCTACTGTAACTTAGTCCCCGATGAGCAGGTACAGCTCCAAACAGGTTTAAGTGCCCCTGCGTCCACAGCCTCAGAAACCGCTGTGAAATGGACTTCTCTAGTAGCCAGGGCCTTTGTGGAAACACCTCACCTGTACACCATGGTGCAGGCCACATAGACATGAAGCTACTCGTGTTTTCACATCTGTTATTTGGCTTAGTCCATGTATATCACATTTTCTGATTTATATATAAACAGCTAGAATCTAGTATTATTTCACATTTCGAGCAGGTGCTTTTTGCCAATTTGCTTGTTAAAAATGGCTACACTGTTTAAATTAACATGCGACTTCTTACTTTACCATCTATAATAACTGCCTACCAGCCCACATTTCCCCAAATTCACATTTTCTTCACATTTCCAGTGGACACACCTTTAATCCTCAGGAGGCAGAGGCAGGTGGATCTCTGTGAGTTGGAGGCCAGCCTAGTCTACAGATTAAGTTCCAGGACAACCAAGGCTACACAGAGAAACCCTGTCTTGGGGGCGGGGGGTGATGTTTCCTAAGATGCCTTGGGAAATGTCCATCTTCTTACCCTCCTCATCAAACTGCATTTTTAGAATTACTTCAGGTGTATAAATCTAAAATATTGATATACAAGTATCTTCCAAGAATATTGACTCTACTGCAAAAACTTCAACATTGTTACTATATCAATAGTTATTTTCTACTCCTTGAGCTGAAAGTTGCTTAAAATACTTCCACTTTCAAAACCTTATACTTTTAAAGCCAAGTGCTGTTACAGTGAAGGCAAAAGGATCAGGAAGCGGAGGTCATCTACAGCTATACAGCAGGTTTGAGGCCAGCCTGGACTACATGAGAACTATCAACAAAATACAAACCAAACCAAAACCCCTACACTTAAGAAAACACACAAGCTATGCACAGGGGAGCAGCATTCCAACAGCTACACAGCTCAGCACATTCCACACATAAGTCAACACCAGGCTGGTCTAGAGCAGCACACACTTCTCCTAAAGCCTAATCTAAAGCAGGAAGAACAGTGCACAGTTCAGGAACTGGGCACAATCAGTCTGTATAGCACTGTACCAAAGTTCAAAAGTTAAGACTTTGGAATAGATACGTGGCATGTGCTGTGTTTAAAGACAAGCTTAACCACTGTTAGGGCAGAGTGACATTCCTCTAGCTATCCAAAGACTTTCAGAAGTTTAAGTATTCCAACCATTTTAGAAATGCTAGCATAGAGAAGTGACAGGCCCTAGCTCCCATTCTGTTTTCTGTTATAGAATGTTATGTTTCAGTTTCCAGATCTAAAATGAGGGCTAAATTAGATCCTGTATACACAGGTAATGCATACTGAATGATCTTGTTATCAAAATTTAAAATGCTAATTCAATAATGAAGCAAAAATAACAGTTTTCTGTTGCTGTTTTTGTTGTTTGTTTTGTTTTGGGGGGTGTTTTGTTTTATTGTTTGTTTGTTTTCCGAGACAGGGTCTCTCTCTGTAGCCTTGACTATCCTAGACTTACTTTGTAGATCAGGCTGACCTCGAACTCACAAGAGCTCCACCTGCCTCTGCTTCCCTGAGTGCTGGGATTACGGGCATGTGCCACTGAGCCTGGCTGTTTTCTGTCTTCCATGTTGCCCACATCAGTTCTGACTTGCAAGCCTCAGGTTCCCAGGCCTCAGCCTCCTAGGTAGCTCGGCCTGTAAGCACACACTACCATGTCTTACTGTAAACTAGGAAACAGCTCAGAAGTCATTTCAAGGAGAAAAACAATTTTAAAAAAAGATTTATTTTCAGTTTTATGTATGTGTTGGGGCATGCAAGTACAGGCGGAAGCCAGAAGAGGGTGTCAGAACCCCTAAGCTCTGGTGTTACAGGGGCAGGTGGGGGGGGGGGGGCATGGATGCTGGGAAAGAACTTAAGTCCTCTGCCAGACTTAACCACTGAGCATAGGACTTAAGGGTCCTATGCACCCTTAACCATTGAGCCATCCCTCTAGCCCCAAGGTGTGTGTGTGGGGGGGGGAATTTAATGAAAATGGCATAGTCATTCATACCAAATAACATGAATCACAGCTTTATAAAGCATAATGATTCTTGAGAAGCATTATATAAAACACACAGAGACCCACTGCCACAAATTGGGGAAAAAAAAAAAAAAACAGCTTAAACAATTTTTGTCTAGCGACACAAAAATAGGTCAAAATAAAACTGTTAACAGCCAGAAGGACACTCAAGGGCAGGGTTCCAAACAGAAAAAGATGCACAAAGACTCCTGGACCACTGACAATTTCTGCCCTCCTCCCTCCTTCCAATCAGGCTGGAATGAAAGGCAGGCAAGCCTTTCTGACTGTAACGTCAACCCTGACCTGCCATTTTTTTTAACACAGTATTC